TTCATCTTGGGTGAGTGTGGCAGAGCTGAAGGTCCCTGAGATCCCATCGGGCCTTGGCCTCTGATTGTGTGGGCTCTGGCTGCCCTGTCGTCCTCTTCCTTGCCACTCTTGTGCCCTTTAACATCATAGCTTGTCCAGTCCTCCAGATCTTTCCCCTATAATGTCGAGTGCATACTTCTGGGATCACCTCCACGAGCTCATTCCTCTTGCTGACAACATGGCTTCTCAGAGGTAGCCCACAGGAGGACAGCTCCTCAAACCACACCCTCTGCCAAGACCGGGAGCCTCTCAAGAGTGCCTCATCATGCTCACCACCACTGGCCTTTCAGGCCACAGCCTTCGGAGTCTTCTGTGGATCTCCATCTTCCTTAAGCCCCTGAACCTGCTCTATTATGGAATTTGGGCCTTTGTTTCCTCCTCTCAGAGTTCTTCTTGCTTGCTCACATCAATGAAGCCAGCTGCCATATTGTGACTACCCCATGGACAGGCTCATGTGGCAAGGAACTGAGGGCGGCCTCGGGACACATGGCCCACGAGGAGCTGACCCCTGCCAGCAGCCACATGTGTGAGCCGGAGACAGATCCCTCCCCAGCTGAGCCTCAGGGTGAGGACAGCCCCGGCCAACACCTTGATTGCAGAGGGCAGCTAAGCCATGCCTCAATTCCTGACCCACAGAAACTGAATGAGCTCCAGAAAACCATTGTCAAGCAACAGAGATAGTGGGCATCCTGATCTTGTTCCTCAGCTGTAAGGAAATGAATCTAGGAGTTCACTTCACTATTCAGGATGACAGGTTTGGTTTTTTCATCAAATATATACTGTATTTGTCAATGCTCTACAGAGAAACAGAACCAACAGAGAGAGAGAGAGAGAGAGAGAGAGGCGCGAGAGAGACTTTTTTTTGTTGTTTATTTTTGTTTTTGTTTTTGAGATGGAGTTTTGCTCTTGTCACCCAGGCCAGAGCGCAATGGTGCGATCTCAGCTCACTGCAACCTCCACCTCCTGAGTTCAAGCAATTCTCCTGCCTCAGCCTCCTGAGCTGGGATTACAGGCATGTGCCACCATGCCTGGCTAATTTTTGTATTTTTAGTAGAGATGGGGTTTCACCATGTTGGCCAGGCTGGTCTCATACTCCTGGCCTCAGATGACCCACCCACCTTGGCCTCCCAAAGTGCTGGGATTATAAGCGTGAGCCACCGTACCCAGCCAAGACATGTGTTTTAAGGAATTAGCTCAACATGGTGGAGGCTTGGTGAGTCCAGAGTCTGATGGGGCAGGCTGGCATGCTGGAGACCAAGGGAGGAATTGTAGTTGGGGTCCAATGGCACTCTGCCAACAGAATTCCTTCTTGCTGCAGGGAGGTCAGTCTTTGGTCTATTAAGGCCTTCAACTGATTGGTTAAGGCCCACCCACACGGTGGAGGATAACCTACTTTACTCAAAATCCACTAATTTATTTATAATTATTATTATTGTTATAGAGACAGGGTCTCACTTTACTGCCTACACTGGTCTTGAACTCCTGGCTTCACGCGATCCTCTTGCCTCAGCCTCCCAAAGTGCTGAGATTACTGGCATGAGCCACTGCACTCAGTCCAAAATCCAGTCATGTAAATGCTCACCTCCCTTCACAGAAGCACCTAGAATACTTTTAAACAAATCTCTGGGCACTGGAGCACAGCCAAGTTGACACACAAAACGAACCAGCACAGTTACTTACATCACGTTATGCAGATGCCCTAATTTATTAACAGCTGTTCATAATTTCCGAGTTTGTGTTGAATTTTATCAAGCAATTACTTTTATATTATTGTTCTCATTTGTTTATACATTGTTTTTAAAAATTGTAAATTTTCTAATATAAAAGCATTCTTGCATAGTTGAGATAAATCCAACTTGCTGAGGAAAAGGGAGCGTCTCTCAGTCCATCTTACTCACCGTTCCCCTGCCCACGGCCTGTGGTGAGCAGAGGGCAGAGTGTCAGCCATGTCCTGGGACTGTTGACAGATAGCCTGCTGTCTTCCTGTCTCTGGGCCGGCCCTGGGAGGGGCCCACAGGCTGCAGGAAGAGCACTGTGCAATTTACAAGGATGCCTTTGTGTGGGGGCCTGACAGCTGCTGGAGTCACAGTCCTCACCCAGGTCAGCGTGGGGCTGAGAGGGCCTCTGGGTGTTCAGGTAGTCAGGGGCTGGGGTGACAGCAGCTAGTAGGGGGCGGGTGTATGAGACAGATAAACACCCACACTCACATGCCAGGTGTGGCTTTGAGCCTCAGCCCAGCCACTCTCCTCAGCTGTCTGGCTGGCTTTATTGGAAGTTCACCAAAAAAAAAGAGAAAAGGTCTCTTTTTTTTCTACTGTGCTGGCTCGCTCTCCAGAGTGCCTGCAGTTGGCCAAACCCTGAGGTTGGGAGCACAGTCCTCCAGACCACCACATCTTCCTGGACGTCTGACCTCTGCAGCAGAGGTTACCAAACTGTCCTGTCCGAGGGAACAGTCCCCACAAGACTGCCCCAACTTCAGCCACCAGCCTCAAGTTCAGAGTCCCCAGGGCCACCTTCACTTCAGACCAGCTGGCTACAAAAATTGGGGGTGCTTACAAGCACCCTCAGCTTCAGTAATTTTCTAGGGTGACTCACAGAACTCAGGAAAGCACTAAACTTATGATTACAGTTTTATGATCATGAAAAGATACAAATGAAAATCAGCCAAAGGAAGAAACACTTAGGGCAGAATCTGGGAGGGGTCCAGTCGCAAGCTTCCAGGGAGGCGTCCTCTCCCTTTGGGGTTCTGGACAGCGTTGCCTCCTCTGGGCCACAATGTGTGAGGATACGCACAGGGCGTTGTCCACAAAGAAAGTCTACCTGAGCCTTTGGTGCCCAGAGGCTTTACTGAGGCTTGATCAGACGCTGCCTGTGTGATGGACCTTTAGTCTCCAAAGCCCCCCAGCAAACAAAGACACTCCTGTCACACAGGACATTCCAGGACCCACAGGTCACCTCCCACTAGCCAAGGGCAGAGGCTGGACCTCTCTTTGGGTGAGGTTAATTCTAAACTGTGAATAGGGCATGTTACAAAGTCAGTGACCGAAGACGCAGAGTGGTGTGGCTGTCAGAAGCTCCAGTCCTGGATTCGCCACCTTTGAGGTTAGCAAGTTACTTAATCCCCGTGGACGCCTGCAGGCCAGAGGCCATCAAGAACAGCCCCGCAGTCAAGCAAATTGGAGTTAATTGGTACCCACTGCACTAAGAAGACTGCACACTAGGGGGCAGCGCAGAGTCTCAGTAAGTGTGTGTTGTGGGGGTGAGGGGGTGCTTACTGAAGGATTTGGGCATTTGTAGGGGTGATATTAGGAAATGTTCAAGGAAGCAAAGTGTTGCTCTGAGGATTGGGTGCCGTGAGTCTACAATTGGGGATCTTCACAATTTGTATCCAGGAGGTGGAAGAACAGGGGAGGTATGAAAAGCCTGGCAGGGAAACAGCAGTCTCTCGTGTGAAACAGGAGAGGGCACTGTTTGGCCATTTTTGTGGTTTCACGGTGACCTCGTTTTTTTGTCCATGCTCAGGCATATTTATGGAGTGGCCTTGATTCTGTCCTGCTGCATCATGGGGGCACGGTGACCCTGCCTGACGCTGACACGGGTGCTCTGTGAAGTTTGTGTGCATCAGGCAGACACCACGGCCCAGCAGACGAGTCACAGGATGCTTTGTTCTGTTCCTTTCCCACCCCTGAGTTTCATTACTGATAACACGGAGATGGTAATTCTACCTAACACATTAGGCAGCTGTGAGAATTAAGGGGAATAATGTAAAATGCCCAGCATAAAATAAAACACAACAGCCAGTCAATTCCCCCATATCATTGTTAAAAAAAAATCAAAGTCTGTGATAAAATGGAAAAAGTGAAGAATCAAAATAAAGCCAAATGCAGAAGAGGCACAGGGAAGGAAGCTGAGAGAGGACATCAGATGAGGGCAGTCCCTGAGCCAAGATCTGTCCTGAAGCTCCCAATGCAACCCCCACCTGGGGCCAGGTGTGTGTGTGTGTGTGTGCGCGCGCACGCATGCACGCACCCTTGCATGAGGGAGGTAAGAAATGTGCCAGCAGCTGGCTGTTGTGGCTCATGCCTGTAATCCCAGCACTTTGGGAGGCTGAGGCAAGAGGACTGCTTGAGTTCACGAGTTCAAGACCAGCCTGGGCAACTTGGTGAGACCTCATCTCTACAAAAAAATTTTTTTCAAATTTAGCCAAGTATGGTGTTACATGCCTGTAGTCCCAGCTACTTGGGAGGCTGAAGTGGAAGGATCACTTGAGCCCAGAAAGTTGAGGATGCAATGAGCCATGATTGCACCATTGAACACAGCCTGGGTGACAGAGTATGATGAGATTCTATCTCAAAAAAAAAAAAGGTTTATATACCATAATCAAATGGAAACTGCCCCAGGAATGCAAAGTTGGTTTAATATCCAAAAACCAATTAATGCAATAGAGTACATTAATAAAATACAGGACAAAACCACATGATCATGCCCATAGACACAGAAAAATCAGTTGACAAAACCTAACACCCTTTCATAATAAAACACTCAATAAACTAGAAATAAAAGAGAACTTTCTCAACCTGATAAAGGATGTCTAAGAAAAACCCACAGTTAAAATCACACTAAATGGTGAGAGACGTATGCTCTCCTCTCAGTGTCAGGAACAAGACAAGATGTCTGCTCTTGAAACGTGTATTCATCATTGTACTGGTCAGGGCAATTGGGAAAAATAAATAAAAGGCATTCGGATCAGAAAGGAAGAAGTAAAACCATCTCTATTTGAAGATGGCATGATCTGAATACAGAAAATTCTAAGAAATCTGCAAAAGTATTAGAGCCAGTAAACAACTTCAGCAAGATTGCGCAATACAGGAGCAACATTTAAAAATCCATTGTATTTCTACAAAATAGCAATGAATAATCTAAAATGAAATTAAGAAAATAACTCCACTTATAAACAAGAATAAAATATTTAGGAATAAATTTAAACAAGTATAAGACTTGCATACTGAAAGCAGGAGGAGAAAGAGGAGAAGGACAAGGAGAGGAGGGGGAGCAGGAAGAAGATGGGGAGGCAATGTATTCAGGATATCTTGTGATTCCTGAGGCCTGAAGCCACCTGTCAGGTCAGGCATCCCCTGTCCTTCCTCTTCCTACTCCTGATCTGCCGCCTCTAGCTTGCACCTCAAATCTATTCTGCTCAGGCATGGAAGTAATTGTGGTGTGAAAGTCTGCCTGGTTGGACCAGCTGTTCCACACACTGGCCTGGCGAAGTTATTTTCAACTCTTCTCAAGCCAGCCATGAACGTGAGGGAGAACTCTGCACTGGATGCAGTTCCCTCTGGGCAGTGAGACCAGCTGCAGAGGTCACCCAGGCCTGGGAGTGCCCAGAACTCCAGCCGGGAAGGCCTGTGGCTGAGCTCAGCTGCAGATCAGGTTATGCCCGCAGGCCCTGGAGGGTCAGATTGTGGCCCTCAGGGTCCTGGGGGCTCTGAGCAGCCTCAGGTCTGTGCCCCTGGAGGCCTCGCCTCTAGGGCCCGGTGCTTCAGTGCAGTCCTCAGGGCCTGCAGGATGGCACCCTGGCTGGTCTGCACGTTGTAGTCACTGAGCCGTAGCAGGCGCTCGAAGTCTTCCTCCTTGTAGGTCATGTTGGGCAGGGCGTACGGGGAGGTAGCCCCGGTGAGATTCACTTGGCCAGCCTGGAGCTCTGCGGGGCTGCGCTGGACACCTGCCCAGGGGTGAGAGGGGTGTCAGGAGCAGAACGCCGGGGTCTCCACAGCCTGGCAGCAGCGCACAGGGAGGGCTGCCCCCACTGGAGGAGCCCCTGCTTTCCTCCCAGCTCTCTGTGTCCTTTGCCCAGGGATGTAAGTGTGGGTGGCAGGGTGCTCTTTGGAAGGATACTATTTGGTGGTAGAAAATACAATTTCATATTTTGTTGCCTTGCAGCGTGACACTCCTTAGGCTATTCTGGCAGCCCCACATGTCTACATTGCTTCGAGGCAAGGTGGAAATAGCCAGAAGAGAGAAGTCAACTGGGTTTGTGAACGGATTCTTAGGACTCACAGTGGAAACAAGGGGGCAGCGAGAACTTGCTGAGACATGAAGGTTCTTTAGAATTCTCAGATGTGGGCTGAGCATGTTCAGAGGAAAGCTGGGAGATCTAGAATGATGGTGGGAACCGGAAAGCTGGGAATATCGCACAAAGACGGCAATGAGTTTTTCCCACCAGAAGGAAATAAAATTCTGACCAGTTGGTGAGAAGAGAGGATAGGAAGGAATGTGATGGGGGTTTAAATTTCGGGAGCCCCTGAGGAGAGGCCCATCTCCCTGAGAAGGGGCCCAGCCTGGGCTGGGGAAGGATGATGGAGAGGCCGACTGAGTCCCCACAGAGCAGGAAAGCAGAGGAGCCCCAGGCAGCTGGGGACACTAGGGCAGGTGGAAGGCCGCAGGAGCCCGGCGTCATGACAAAGGGGACCACTGCATAGTGACCCTGCCAACAGAGGGCCTGCAGGGATGAGGGCATCAGCAAGGAGGCCAGGGTGGGCTCTAAGGTCTGGGTGGGCCTGGATGGGCCTGTCCTGAAGGCTTCTCCTGGCAAACTCACTTCCCTTCCCTCTGCTGGGCGGCGGGGGGCCCAGGGCAGGCCTCTGAGGGGCCAGGCAGCCTGGGTGCTTGGGAGGGGATGCCTCACCGGGGGCTGAGTGGTCCTTGAAGGAGGCATTGACCAGCGGGAAATGCAGCAGGATCGGGGCCTCGGGGCAGGCGGGGTCTGAGAAGAGGTGGCACTCCCTTGGCTGCTGGTGGTCCTGAGGGCTGGGTTCCACCCGGGGGAAGGGCAGCCCCCGGGCCCGGCAGTACACCTCTGTCTGCTGCAGTGCCTGGTGGGGAGAAGGTGGCCCGGAGAGAACCAGCCCGGCCCAGGTCAGTGCTGGGCCAGTTCCAGCACACACCAGCTGCCTGTGTCAAGACAACGGCCTGGCTCTGTCCTGTCTGTGGTCAGGCCAAGCTGCAGAGTGACTCGGAGGGAGACCCAGGGGGAGTCCAAGGGCTCTGGTGGCCTGCAATGTTGCTTGGTTAAAATCTCTAGGTGGGGTACAGACCCACCCCCAGCCCCCCAAACTCCAACTCTGGATTGCTATTGCTGGATTGTTCAAATCCCAGAGCCGGGAGGGGACCTGCATTTGCACGGCGTCTCAGGGGAGGTCTGGGGGATGGACATGGAGATGCTAGGGTCTCCTCTCAACTCTGTCCAGCTGTTCTTTGGAGGAGGTGTGGGGAGGTCCCTCCCTGTTCACCTGGCCTGGGAGCCCAAGGCCCCTGCACCATCACAGCCCTTCCCACCTGAGGACCCTGGCAGGAGCCAGCAGATCAAGGTCTGACACCCCTCCTTCCCTTCGGGACCCAGGCGGTGTGGGGCAGTAGGTCAGTGGCCCTGCTGTCTGCCTCTGGAGCTTGGCCTGGCTGGGCAGAGGGGTTCCCCTGGGGTGACCAGCGTACCTCAAAGGGCGCAGATAGAGAGTAGTCGAAGGAGAGGATGAGGTCCAGCCTGCGGCCCGGCCGGAACATGGAGGGACAGCTGGTGTTGATGAAGTAGCCAGCGTCCACCAGGCAGAGCTGGGGCTCCTGGGGAGTCAGCTGGCTGGGCGTGGAGTCAAGCTGGCAGTCTGGTAGGAATTGCAGGATGGTCAGAGGCCACCACCCTGCCACAGGTCATCCATGTCCCCTTCTCTCCTCTGGGTCACTCTCTGAATGCCACCAGTCCTTCCCCAGGACCTTCCAAGGGGATCTTCTCCAGCCCATACCCCAGAAATGGATGCTGACCTCCTAGGCTTCGGCCAGTCCCTGCCACACCACCCAGAGGCCCAACCTTGTGACCTAAGGACCCCTGGCCACGGCCCTGACCTGCCCAGGTGGAGAAGCCTTTGTGGCTGCAGTAGTCCTGGTGTAGCTGGAGGCCCTGGAGGAAGTTGGGGCTGCGCTGGTGGAGGGGCCTGTCGGTCAGGAAGCCTTTAAATGCCTGGGCCAGCGCCGTGCCCGGCTGCAGCCACGAGGCCTCCAGCCACGAGGAGGTCTCCAAGGAGGTCAGGGGCTCCTTCTCTGAAGCCAGAGAAACAGACATTGGACCCTTCTTCCCCTCACTTCTTTCCCTCAGACACCGCACACCGCAAGCAGAGTCTGAAGGAACAGCATCATCCCAGCCCCCTCAGTGCCCCCACCCTTCCCACCTGAGCTCCTGGTCTTGTCCTTGATGTGCTGTTTCCAGGACTCCCCAGAGCTGGTGAGGTCATACCAGGCGTCCAGCAGGTTCAGGGAGAAAACGTTGCTCCAGATGGCTGACGGAACCCCAAGAGAGGTCAGCCTCAGGCCCCAGCCAGCGGCCCCACCCTCGGGTGCTGATGGAAAACGGGAGTGGGGAGAGGGCTGCCCCTACCAAGTACTGCCCCCCACCACCTACCCCTCCCCCTCGTCCTGAGGTTCTGCCCCACCTGAGCTACAGGACCCATGTCATTCAGACGCCTGGCCCAGGGCTGCCCAGGGCCTTCAGAGCCACCACTCTCACCTTCCAGAAAGCAGATCCGGGGCTCCGGGATCCTCCTCATCAGCCGTCCCATGAAGAACTTGGAGCCGAAGAGCTCAGGAGGGACGAAGGCTCCGTACTTCAGGAACCCGACCTCATAGGGGGAGAACTCAACCCACTCTAATGGGGTGGGAGGGAGAGGCAGGAGTGTGAGGGGAGTGGATTACGGAAGCCCCAGCTCTGGCCAAAGATACTGCCCCTGCCCCCAGCAGGCCCGAGCCCCGCTGTGCCTGACGCCAATGCAGCAGATGTGAGCAACGTGCACTCTTGGGCTGACCACACCCTTCCCAGGCCTTGGTCCACACCCTCAAGCACTCCCCACTGCCAAACACAGAGAGCGGCCCCGAGTCCCTCAGGACTCAGGAAGGTTGGGCAATCTGTGCGGAGCTTCCAGCGTGAATTCTCTGGGGACTCTCGGGGTGCAGAGGATTTGGAGGGTGGAGTATGAGGAAGGGGGAGTGGGTAGAACCGTACCCTTAAAGTCCAGCGTCTCCAGATTGTTCTCTTTGACATTGAGGCTCAAGTAGAGGGGCAGAGGGTTCTGACCCCGTTCCAGGGCAGCTCTCTGTCCTGACAGCTTCTGATCCATCACCTGGGGCCAGAGGGCATCAGGGCCTAAGTGAGGCTGGGAGTGTCCTGGAGGCAGCGGCTCCACCAGGACGGGGGCAGGATGGGGGACCAGGCTGGGGGTGAGGAGGCACCTCCTCCCGTGGGATCTGGGGACCATATGTGGGTCAGTTCCCACTCGTGCCTCCGTGTTCTGACCAGCCCTAGATGCAGGGTCGCTGGACAGAGCATGCAGGCTGTGTACTGTCAATCTCCAGCGAGGGCCATTCACAGGGACTACAATGCCAGCAGTGCTTCCAGGCCCATCTTCGTGGGTTTAAGGGTGAAGTGGGTGTGGATACTGACACACAGACACAAGGACACATGCACATATACATGTATTGCTTTGCAGAAAGGACACAGCAATGCCCTTTTAGCATATACCGAAGCCTGTGCCAGGGATGGATTGCCTCCTCTTCTAGCTTCTCCTTAATGCAGTTCAAGTTTCAGCCCCTCCCGAATGCTTTCCTTACATCCTTGCCCCCCACCATTGTCCCTCTTATTTCTGGCTTTGCACAGCGTGAGGTTGTACCCTGTTGTTTATTCTTGCCTTCTGTTCTTAATTTCCTCTTCAATAGAGCTCCAAGCTCTGTCTTTGTTTTATCTTATTTTGAGATAGGGTTTCACTCTCTCACCCAGGCTGGAGTGCAGTGGTGCAATCTTGGCTCACTGCAACCTCTGCCTTCCCAGGTTCAAGTGATTCTCCCACCTCAGCCTCCTGAGTAGAGTAGCTGGGACTACAAGTTACATTTGTCTAATTTTTGTATTTTTTGTAGAGATAGAGTTACACCATGTTGCCCAGGCTGGTCTCAAATTCCTGAGCTCAAGCAATCCATCTGCCTTGGCCTCTCAAAGTGCTGGGATTACAGGCATGAGGCACCACCATCCATGGCCCAAGTTCTTTGATGGCAACGACTATAGCTTGCCTTTTGGGGGAGCCTCCACAGAGCCTCCCTGAATTGTTGGGGAACAGAAAGACCTCATTCTATGCTGAACTAGAGTGGCAAATGGAGCTCTTCCCAAGCACCAGCAAGGCTAATGGTGCTGCCTGCCGGGAGCACCACCTTGGGAAGGATTCTGCCGCCAGAGCTGAGGTTGATGCCTTCAGCTCTGGGCTGTTTCTACTGGGCAGTACATGTACCACGAATATGTCATCCTTCCTTTGGGCTCTCCAAGCTGAAGAGTGTCTAGTTCTAGAGGCTCCCAACCTGCCACAGCAGCCCTTATCATCAGATTGACTCAGTGAATGTGGACATGTGAGAGCATGTGAAGCATGTGGACCTCTGGGTCTCCACTGAGAATCAGCCTGTCAGAAGTCACTTTGGAGTTTGCCTTTTAAAAACCTGCAGATGATCCTGATGGCCAGCCAGGTGTGAGGATTCCTACCCAGCCTACTCAAGGGGGGTCCCTCTCCCACATCCATGGCAAAACCCAACACACCCAGTGTATGTGTCCTCCTCGCTGGCAGCTCATCTGTCCCTGACAAGAACACTCATGTGTCAACCAGTCGTTTTTCCACCCCATTCTTCAATGGTCCCCAGTATGAGTTATAGGGAATTTGCAGGAAATCTCTAAACAGGGCTCAATCCCCTGCCATGGATGGTGGTGGTGTATGGACAAGTCAGTCCTTAGGTACAAATGTGTGTACATGATCCCTTCTCAAAATCTTTTTATTTAGAAACTCTGTTGCTCTTTTGATACATATGATGAGGGAAAATGTGTCCTTTTACTACAGTTGTGCAATTTATGCCCTAGGGAAAGTTCTGGAAAAAGATCAGCACACCCCTGCATCTACTGAAACAGCACCCACCCAGTATATCTAATGGCTCACCAGTAAGCTGCGGCAGGACTCTCAGTCTCTAATCCCCCAGTTTCCAAGCGAGTAACCCCAACCCTGCAGAACACCGTTCTGATGATTTGAGGGTCCCATGGGAAACACTGGAGCTTGGTGCAGTACTGGCAATGCAGACTAAATGGAAGGCAAGTGTGTCAGCTCCTAACTCAGGAAAGGATAAGAGAACCACTCTGAGTTTCTCCTTGAGGAATGATGAGCAGCTTCTAAGCAGTTCGGTACTTGCCAGCAAAAGACTGAAGAAAAAAGTTTCAAAGAGATGAGAGTTTGAGAAGCACTGATTATAGCTAGTGTATTTTATGAATGGGTTTTTATAAAAACCTAATCATTATTAAAGATGTATGTAGGCTAATAAAGTCATTCTGAGCAAAATTTCAGGGTATGATATTCATTAATATTAACGAAATTGTGATTTGTCATAAATGGAGTTATATTTTCTGACATTGTAAAGTGACTTTTGGTACTTTAGATTATTACATTATAGAGGTAATAAATACCTGTTTTTATCTAACATCTTTAAAAAATTAGAAATAGACACTAAAATTGCCTGAATAAAACATTATTTTATAAAGTCTACAATGAATGTTGGCTTTAAGAGGTAAGGTATGATAAACAGAAGAAAAAAAATAATAAATTGAAAACCTTTCCTATTGGGACAAAATTTTAAAAATAGCATAGGTGCTTTTTTTTGAGACAGAGTCTCACTCTAAAGCCCAGGCTGGAATGCAGTGGCATGATTACAGCTCACTGCAGCCTCAACCTCCCATGTTCAAGCAATCCTCCCGCATTAGCCTCCTGAGTAGCTGGGACTATAGGTGTGTGCCACCACGCCCAGCTAATTTTTAAATTTTTTGTAGGGACGGGGTCTCACTATGTTGTTCAGGTTCATTTTTAAGAATATATAGGTATCTAATAATACCACAAGCATTTCTATTTTTGTGAACAATTAAAAAATTGTCTTCTAAAAATGTTTATAAAGCTTACACACAAAACCATGCATTAAGTCATTACTGGAGGATCCAATGGTAATTAAATAAAAGTCTGCTGTATAGCCGAGAATCAAACTGCATTTTCTAGCACCTTGTAAAGGGAACTGTTAAAACAAGCTTCTCCCATTCTATAGTAACTAACTGCTGCCACCCAGCAGGAAAGTCAGTTAATAAAACATGACATCATCAAAACTGAATATGAACTTAAACAGTAGATCCAAAGACTACATAGCACATAGTGATAAAATGAAAATATTTCTAGTAATTATGTTGGCTTTATAAATTCAATGCCATTTCAATAAAAATCCCAAAAACATTTGTCACAAAACATGACTAGGTGATTCTATCATATAATTAGAACAGCAGGCCAGGTGTAGTGGCTCACACCTGTAATCTCAGCACTTTGGGAGGCTGAAACAGGTGGATCACTCAAGGCCAGGAGTTGAAGGCCAGCCTGGGCAAAGTGGTGAAAAACCATCTCTACTAAAAATACAAAAATTCGCCGGGCATGGTGGTGTATGCCTGTAGTCCCAGGTGCGTGGAAGGCTGAGGCACAAGAATCACTTGAACCCAGGAGAAAGAGGTTGCAGTGAGCCGAGATTGTGCCACTGCACTCCAGCCTGGGTGACAGAGCAAGACTCTGAGGAAAAGAAGGAAGGGAGGGAGGGAGAGGGAAGGAGGGAGGGAGGGAGGGGAGGGGAAGGAAGGAAGGAAGGAAGGAAGGAAGGAAGGAAGGAAGGAAAGAAACAGCAAAGGGGCAAGTACAACCAAGAGAATACTGAAGAAGAATTCAAGTGGACTGGTAACTTGGCCTATCAGATACCAAGATTTATCACAAAACTTTAGTCAGTGTGCTATTGGCATAGGGATAGAGAATCTGTCCTGTTGGAACAGAATAGGGCACTCAGGAAGTGTCCCGGGAATATAAATATACGAAAAATATATGAAACCTGATATATGACAAAACTAGCAATGCAGATCAGTGGAGAAAAAATTCAGTAGATGAGACTGGGAAAATTTGTTATTAATGTGAGGAAAAAGCAAAGTTGGATCCCTAGCCACATGATACCTGGAGATAAATTCTGGGTAGATTAAAGTCCTATTAATAAGAAATAAATCTTTTAAAAATTTTATAAGAATGTATAGAAAGATATTTTCTAACTTTGGCGGAGGGAAAAGGAAGACTCCCCAAAATACAAACCATAAAGGAGAATGATAAATTAGATTATACTGAAATTATGCATTAAAACCATTAGAACTGATGAGGGTTCACATCAAAAATATATAAAGAATTCCTGCAAAAAAATATGAAAAAGACAAATTAAACAGGAAAATGGAAGGGGTTTGAATAGGTAATTCATGGAAGAGGAAGCCCAAATGATAAATATACTTAAAAACATAAACTGTCTAACTAAAATTCAAAGAAATGCTAAATGATAAATGTTCCTTTCACACCCCATAGTTAAACAAAAATTTAAAAGTCTGCCCAAGATATAGAGAAAAAGCAACTATTATACACTGGTAGTGGGAGTGTGAATTAACACAACTCCTTTGGAGAATGGTTTGGCAATAGGTAGGAAAGTTGAAGGTGCACAAACCCAGTGGCCCAACAATTTAACTACTGGGTATGTATCTTGGAGGCTTAGAGAATCTCTAATGCAGGTGTACAAGGAGACTTGTACAAAATTGTTCATGCAAATAGTATCATATTTTTCTTAAGGATATATATGTTAAAATTTGTGAACTGGAAAACCTGGAAGAAATAGATAAATTCCTGGACACATTCAACCTACCAAGATTGAACCATGAAGAAATAGAAAAGCTGAACAGACCAATAACAAGCAATGAGATTGAACCAGTAATAAAAATGTCACCCATTAAAGGTAAGTCAAGGACCTGATGGCTTCACTGCTGAATTCCACCAAACATTTAAAGAACTAATACCAATTCTACTCAAACTATTCGAAAAAATTCAAGAGGAGGGAATACTTCTAAAGTCATTATCCAAGGCCAGGACTACATTGATACCAAAGCCAGATAAGGACACAAACAAAAAAAGAAACCTACAGGCCAAGACCCCTGATGAATATAGATGCAAAAGTTCTCGACAAAATACTATCATACCAAATTCAGCAACATATCGAAAAGATTATTCGCCATTGATCAAGTGGAATCCATCCCAGGAATGCAAGGATAGTTCAACATACACAAATCAATAAATGTGATACATCATATCAACAGATATAGTTGGGATCAGTGCCCTGGTTACATAATCAAAAATGCCTTCCCAAGTCTCACCTTGTTCTTACCTCTCCTAGAACCTTTGAGAACTATCTTTTTATTACTAATCTTTGGCCCTTGCTTGATTAACCTCTTAGTAAAGTTTGTGTCTTTTAGATTACAGTAGTTCCAGGTAAAGTCAATGCTGGTACCAGGCTTCCAATCCATCTTGCTTACTGACCAGGAGAATTAAAGTGTTCTGCCTATGGGCCCCTTAGATCGGGTATCCAGAGATTTTTACTCCTCTGGTGCTTGGCCAGGGCCTACGCCTATAACATAAGCAGGAAGCAGTTACAGAAGACAGATTTTCACCCTTCTGCAGCCCTGTTAAGATTAAGGAGGAGGGTCTAATCTCTGAGGCAGGAATGAGATAGGAGGCGGGGCTCAACTCTGGAACCAGACTGGAGACTGGCTGAAACAGGGAAGGGCTGAAAGCACCTCTCCGTAAGACATGCTCACCAGTATCATGATAGTTTACTCATTCCCCGGCAACAACCCAGCAGTTACCACCCTTTTTCTAGAAATTTCTGAATAACCTACTCCTTAATTTGCATGTAATTAAAAATGGGTATAAATGTGACTGTGGAACTGCCCCTGAGCTGCTGCTCTGGACACACTGCTGATGGGTGCCCTGCTCTGCAGGAGCAGTCACAGAGCTGTAACACTGTGCCCTTGATAAAGCTGTTTTTCTACCACCAGCTAGCCCTTGAATTTCTTCCTGGGGGAAGCCAAGAACCTCCATGGGTGGAACCCCAGTTTTGAGGCTCCCTTGCTCTGCAACATGATGATAAACCTAAATTCAGGATGGTGTTTGCCCCTGGGGGCAGGAGGGAAACAGGACTGGGGAGGGAATACAAAGGGCTTTAACTGTATCTGTAACATTTCATTTCATAGGCTGGTTGGTAAGGTCATGCATATTCATTATGTATTATGGTTTATTCAATGTCTTAGGTGTGAAGATTTTCATAATAAGTAAAGATTGAGATTTGCATAATAAATGTTTATAGCTAATACAAAAAATAAGGATGGTAGTTTATAAGCAGTGTTGTACTTAACCAGTAAGAAAAATACTTAAAGAAAAAAATTCAAGGCAAATACACGATAATCATTCTTTTTAAATTCCTTCTATATAAATTTATTTTTATACCCATTAACCAATTTTTCTTCCTTCCCTCCCATGATAATCATAGTTGATCAAACTCCTGACCCAAAGATAAAGATGAGTCCTTCTGCTACTAATCTTTTCCTTACATTTTGTCTTTTCATTGTTTCAAATGCTTTTGAAACTTTGTTCAGATAGCTATGTGCGGTAAAACAATAGCGTGAAAAAAATAGCTGATTTTAATAATTGTATCAGTGTAAAGTTCAGCAGTTAACTTACTAAGCTTTCCCTCAAGGAGCACTGTAATTTTTTTTTAAAAATGAATGTTTAGTTTTGTCTTGATGCTGTTAGAATAAAGAAAAATAGCTGACACTTCATGCTTATTCTATGCTGAGGTATCACTGAGTATTCCGAACAGCTCTATAACTTAAGAACCGTTGTTATCCCCATTGTACAGATCAGAAAACGGACATACAGAGAAGTTAAATAACTTGCCTAAGGACATACAGCTAGTAAGAGGTAGTGGGGTTAGAACTCAGGCAATCTGGTTCCAGAGTTTGTGCTTTTAACACCACCCTGAAGATGAAGAAGAACAGTACACTTCATATTGCAGGATAAATAAAAATGGTTCTAGCAATCTTACCCACTCAAAACAAAAGCTTTGTTTGCTTGACTGACTTTGACACTGACTCATTCCCAGCTTTTGGGAGATCCAGAAATTTCTGTTTTATAACAGTTAATTAAAGAATCTGCTAACTCAGAAAGGCAGCATTCCAAAGTCAGGCAGACACTAAAACACAGGGTCTTCCACGCTGCAGGAAATGCGCATCGCATGTCAGCTGCTTGGGCGCTCTGCCTTTGCCCCTGCAGTGCACACACGCTTCTCCCCACGTGCTCAGGTGCCCTACCTGGCCGTGCAGCATGGACTCCAGCACTAGCGCCCACAGATCCACAAAAGATGTGGGGTGGTCCTGCTCAGCCTGCAGCTCCAGCTCCCGGCGGTAACTTGCCAGGCGCTCTGGGGAAAAGACCTCCAGCTTGCTCTTGGCCAGGTGCTCCCGGGCGTGTCTGATAGGTCCCTCCAGGTCCTTCTGCGACCACTCAGGGTCCCCGTACAGGTGGGCCATTGTCCTGGGAGAACGAGGGGACAGAACAGTAGGAGCCCGAGGCCCAGCATGGGGCGCTGCAACCCCTCCTTCCCACCCTGCAGCTTCTCCTGACGCGTGGCTTCTGCCGCCAAGGCTGGGCCGATCTGGGAAGCGGGTCTCAGGGCTGTCTCTCCTTCTAGACCGGCGCTGTCCAATATTAATACAATGTTTGCCACGCGCGGAATTTAAAATTTCCTAGTAACCACATTAAAAAGATATACAAGCCTGTAAAATTAATTTTAATATTTTATTTAATCGCTATATTCAAAAATCATTTCAACATGTAATCAATACAGTTACTGATGTAATTTCTATTTTTGTTTTCAAACTAAGTCTTCCAAATTCACTGTGTTTTTTCTTTTGTTTTGTTTTGTTTTTGAGACGGAGTCTTGCTCTGTCGCCCAGGCTGGAGTGTAGTGGGGCAATCTCAGCTCACTGCAAGCTCCACCACCTGGGTCCACGCCATTCTCCTGCCTCAGCCTCCCCAGCAGCTGGGACTACAGGCACCCACTGCCATGGCTGGCTACTTTTTGTATTTTTAGTGGAGACGGGGTTTCACCGTGGTAGCTAGGATGGTCTCAATCTCCTGACCTCGTGATCTGCCCGCCTCAGACTCCCAAAGTGCTGGGATTACAGGCGTGAGCCACAGCACCCGGCCTTCACTGTGTATTTATAACACACCTCAATGTGGACTGGCTGCATTTCAAGTGGTCAATAACCACATGTGGCTACTGGCTACCATAGTGGCTTACTGTACTGGACAGCCCAGTCTGGACCCCACTCCCATCTTCATGGTCCTGTCCTGAAGCCTTTTCACACTGTGCTTGTCAACAGCTGTCACCTAAACTCCTCTGAGGAGTTTCCTCTTCTTTTACTCCTTAAAGTCACATTTCAATAAGACTCAAAGGAACGAATCTCTAACAGCGGGTTGCTGCACCTCGTCATGCTGCAGGATGAGGGCGTAGGGAGGTCATGCTATCTTTAGGTAAAAATAGTATTTCGACCTCAATGTCTACACAGTCTTAAATGGACAATAAGGGAATCTACCTCGAGTGTGGTGAAGATTAAATGAAATAATAACAATGAACGATAAAAAGAGCTACCAGTTAGGAACTCCTGGCTGTGCCGGGCATTAAGTTAAGTGCTTTACTTGGGTGATCCTCCGACCCCAGTCCCACGTGGTATGTGCCATGATTGCCCCTGTTTGGAGCTGCGTCAACTGAGAATCGGAGGAGATAAGTTGCTCAGGGTCAGCCAGCCAGTAAGTGGTGCTGCCGGGACTCAGACCCAGCTGCATCTGAGCCAGCTACCTCACGGCCCTTCAGTAACATCCGGAACACACCTCCTGCACCGCTTTGTTCACGGCAGGGCTTCTGTAAATGTCTGTTTCCTCCCTTGTGGGAAAGCTGCTTGGCTCCTATCAGATCACACTGCTTACACCTACTTGGCCTCCCCATACAGAGGGTCCCTCTGGTGTCCACTCTGCCCCGCTATGGCCCCTGATCATCTCTGCCGTCCAGTCCCCCAGGATCCTCACCATGTAGAGCCTGAGACGCCACTGAAGTAGGTCACACAGTCCAGCAGGCCCAGCTTCTGCAGGGCCAACAGGTGGCCGTAAAGTGAGGTCATGGCCCGGGCACCTCCTCCTGTGGCCATGATGCCCACGATGGGTACCTGGACCACACACAGACACAGGCTGGATTAACAAGGAAAGGGGCCAGCTGCCTCCTGTCTCACCCAAAGCCCTGCCCCGCTCCCTGTCTCCAGGGCCCACATGGTTGAGGCCTGAAGAGTCAGGGTCAGAGCTAGGTCCAGCTGCCTTCTGGAAGCAACGGCTCTCAGCCTAGGATGGAGCTCCCAAGGGAGTTAGATCCCCAAAGCCCACCCACGCTCCCATGTCTCCCCACATATGCCCACTCTCCACTGACTGGAGTTTCTGGAGAGGCATAGGAATCAGGTACTCCCTTATGGCCAGTCCAGGATATCTGCACACACATCTCCCTGCGCCGCCAGACCTCGTCCTCCTGCAGGTCTCTGTCCAGCTGCAGGGCCTGCTTCAGGGCCTTGGCCACCACCTGCTTCCTCCTGCTCAGGAAGGCCTGCTCCTCTGCACACAGATTGAAGCCCAGGTGCACGGCCAGCTCCTTGGAGCTGTGTCAATGGAGGATCCAGGGGTCAGGGGACACCTGCAGAGCTCAGCCACCGGCTGGCCAAGCCCACAGCGAGCTGCCAAAGAAGCCCCTCCTCTAATCTCAAGGACCACCCTTGTCCACAGCCCTCCCCTCCTGCATGCCCGCCTCTCACTGTCCCCACAGATGTGAATGTCCCTTACCAGCCCTCTGCCTTGAGCTGCAGCCTCACTCCTGGGACCTGAAATCAAAGCCAGACACCCTGCTGAGACCCTCCTAGACCCTAAGCAGCACATGGGTATCCCCTGGGGCCTTGGTCCCCTTCATCTTCTTCTTTTTTTTTTTTTTTTTTTAAGATGGAGTTTCGCTCTTGTTGCTCAGGCTGGAGTGCAGCGGTGCAATCTTGACTCACCGCAACCTCCGCTTCCTGGGTTCAAGTGATTCTCCTGCCTCAGCCTCCAGAGTAGCTGGGATTACAGGTATGTGCCACCACGCCCAGCTAATTTTTGCATTTTTAGTAGAGACAGAATTTCCCCATGTTGGCCAGGCCGTTCTCGAACTCCTGACCTCAGGTGATCCGCCTGCCTCGGCCTCCCAAAGTGCTGGGATTACAGGCTTAAGCCACCGAGCCCAGCCTTATCTTCATTCTTACTGTCATTTCCCATCCAGTTGAGGCCACTTACATCTTGAGCAGGAACATCCATGGTCACCTCCTTCCCGATCAAAGGCCTCAGGGGCACAGTGAGGCGCCGAGCTGAGTTGTCCCCATTCCAGACGTTGCTTGTGGAGCTCTGGAGGGAAAGCATCATTCATTCATTCAGCAAATCCCTACTGAGTATCTAGACTGTAATCCAGACAGACACAGTCTCTTCCTGATAATATTATAATATTGATAAGTATCATAACTATAAAATTATACGAGCTAACATTTATGTAGTACAAAGGCATTGTTCTCACTGAATAGCATGTGTAAATTTATAAAGACATGGGTAATGAACTGATGTTAGTAAATGTCATGAAGGAAATAAGTGGTGGGATATGACAGTTTCTAATGCAACCAAAGGTGGAGTGCATGGGGTTTATTTGAGGTGGGGGTCAAGGAGGACCCTCTGAAGAGGCACCATTTGAGCTCAGATGTCGAGGAGGAGGAGGAGGCAGTCTTGGAAGGAGCCAGTGGGGGACAGGAGAGCACCTGGCATGTTGGAAATGAGAGAGGAGACAAGGATGGCTGGCGCATCGTGCATGGGGGGAGTGTGGAACAAAATGAGGCGGCAGAGGTGGGCGGGTGCCAGGCTGTGCAGGGCCTTGTGGGCACAGATGTCGTCTTATTCTAAGGGTATCACTGGAGGGGCTGCTGGAGGATTCAAAGATTGATATGGTGCAGCAACCCCATGACCACTCTGGCCCCTGGTGGTCCTCCATGTCTGCCAAGGGTGAGGTACCTAACTAGGGAGGCTGACAAGGCCACAGGGACCTTGGCCCTGGTGGGCAGGGAGAGCAGGGAGGGGCCTGCAGCAGCTGGAGCTGCCCAAGCCTGGGATTGCAAATGAGGTCTAGAGCCAAGACCTACCCTCAGGCGCCCACTCAGCTCTGTCTCTAGGGCTGCCATGTAGTGGAAGCGGAAGGCAGAGGCTGTGCCCAGGGAGGATGTCTGTGTGTCCTCATAGGACCCCTTCAACTCCAGCTCCAGCTCCAGCTTGTCCTGATCTAGGGAGAGAGCGGGCGGGTTAGCATGAGAACAAGAGCCCAGAACCCCAGCTCGGACCTGGGACAGCAGCACCACCACTTGGACTCAGAGGATGCCCGGGAGCCTGGGCCATCGTCAATGGCATTCTGAAAAGGGCCCTTCCCAGTCCATGGGGCCCACAACCTCCCTGCCCCAGACACCTGCCTTCTGCCACATGCTCTCCCCCAGGTCAGGGGACCCTCCTGCCCAAAGGAGGCCCATGGGCCTCTGTGCCATGTTGGTGAGAAGGGAGAGGCACGCTCTATCCTGCTGCTGGCCTCCCGCCCTGTGCAGGCTTCCCAGCAATCCTCCTCACCCCCACGTCCAGGCAGAGTCCAGGCCTGGTTCCAAGCCGGTCTCACCTGCAACCACAGCGGTGCTACCTGCACTGTCCAGATGCACATCCAGGCATGACAGCTCTCGGGCCTGGGGAAGACCACATCATGGGCAGGGGCCTCTGCAGGGTAAGCTGAGGTCCCCTCCACCTCAACCCTCTGAGCCCCACTGTCTCAAATCCACCATACACACAAGGAGTTGTGGAGTTGTGTGGGCTCAGGATGAGTTTGGCTGCAGAGGCCCTTCACCCCATGGCCGATCCTCTGCCGCTGCTGAAGCTGATGCTCCCCAGCATCCAGGCGGGCCCCGGCTCCATACCTCCCCACCAGCTCTCCTGGCATTGCCAAACTCCCGAAACCTCCTAGAGCGCCCAGCCCTCAGATACAGCTCTTTCTTCTCTTGTTTCCCTGTGGCTTGGAGCTGGAGGAGATATTCTACCACAACTCCAAATAATCTAAGCAAGCTGCCCGTCCACAGGAGGGTGGACTGGGCGCCGGAGAAACACTCAGAACATCTCCTGGCTGTCGTCTGTGGCCTAACTGGGGACACTGACAAGGCCAGGTCCCCGTGGCCTTGCCAAGGGAGTCTGTGTGCTATCTGTGAAGCATACCAGCAGATGCCCGCCACCCACGCTCCACACAATCACTGAATTTGCCCACCCGCTGCGTGTCTCCGTCACCTCCTAAGAGGCAGTGCCATTGGCTTGACTTTATTTTCATGTACATTTTTAAAAGTAATACCCGCCCATCAAACAGCCCCTGGGAGCTTAAATGCTGGGCTCTAGGTGACCCTGGACCCGCCTGCTCCCAGGTCTGTGCTGCTGGTCTGGGACACCGTGTGGCTGGTCTGGGACACGGTGATAAAAGCTTCTAGCGCGTCGCCCGCTTGCCCCCTTGCGGCCATTTCTGTTCACTGCAGCTTCGTGAGCCTGCGGTCAGGAGCCCTGACAGGGACTCTCCTCGTCCCGAGTAGGAACTGCCTGAGCCCCGGATCCGATCTCTAGGATCCGGTCTCCGAGGTCGGCAGCACACCGCCCTGGGAGCTCCCTCTGAGCCTCGGTGACCTCAACATGAACAACCAGAAGGTGGGCCTGGCCTGCCCGATTTCTTCACCACTTCCCAGGGAAGCGCTCAGTCAGTCCCTAAAGCTATGAGTTCACCGCGGGTGACTAAACGCCTTCCGGAAGCACCCCCAACAGCTGTGGGCCAGAACCTCCTCTCGGCAGAGCCCTGCCTCCCCTCTCTCTATGCGCCCCTTAGCTCCAGGCCCCTGCAAGACCCACAGCCCCAGGTGACCACCTGGCTGGAAGGCGAGGGGTGGTTTTACCACGAAGCCCTGCCCCTTCCTTGTCCCTGCTGGTCCACACCCCAGGCAGCTGCTCTGGGGCCCCTCCCCTAAGCCTGGGGAAAGCGCTTACCACAAGGACTTTGTTGGTGATGAGGTTTTCTGGGCGATCCGACCTGGAAAAATCAAACCATGCAAAGGCAAACGCTTCTTGCATTGACCTCCCCCTCCCGCCCATGTGGGGTCTGCCTGGGTGATGCTGAGGGCTCTGTAGGTCCTGGATAAGGTTCAGAGGGAAGGGGAGATGCTTTGCAGGAGGAGAGGGGAGGGGAGAGAGCAGGCATTGAAAACATCGGCCTTCCTCTGCATTTCCCTGAGAAGCTCCACCCCACACCCAACCTCTCGGGCAGAGGTAGGAGATGAGGGCCAGTCAGGCAGACTGACCACAGGGAGATCTAGGTCAGGGCCATTTCCTCAGACAGAGCCTGAGTCCCGAGACACTCCCTGGGCTGTGTGACATTACTCACGTTTCTTCCATCAGGAACTCCACATCCAGCTCCTCCTGTCCCTGAAATCAGAGAGGATGAGCAAGTCATCAGCACATACCTATTTCTTCAGAGTTGACACAGTTCTTTTACAGGTGTCATCTCATCCTCTCAAGCAGTCTCTAAGGGAGGCACGTTAGTACAATTATTTCCAATTTACAGATGAGGAAACTGAGGCTACCTGCCCACATTGCCCGTGGCTAGTAAGTCTGCAGAGAACAGGTCTCCCTCCCTTGGAGGTCCCACAACTCTGGGCAAGACTGAAGGAGAAGACAAGGAGCACAGCCAAAGGAGGCATGATGTGCAGGACCCATTTGTTTTTCTTGAGGAGGGCCCAGACCCCTGAACTCTGCCGTCCCCACCCCCAGGCTGCAGCAGGAAGGCGGGTAAGGCCTTCACAAAGCAGGCCTTGGCACCACCAGCAGGAGTGATGGATGCTGAGCTGTGTTTTGAGGGGTGTTAGGAAGTTCTCCACCTCCCAAAGCCTTCCTGCCACCGGTGGCTAAAATTCCTCCACTGGGTGATTTAGCCTGTTAACTGTAAAGTGAAGCCTTCTCCTTGCTTATTAAAATGCAAATATCTCTGGAAGGGGTTTAGATTTTCTGTGAATGAGTTCACACCAGCAGTCTCCCAACAGGTGGGAGAAACAGCAACTTCCTCAGCTTGGAGTCAGAAGAAGTGCGGCCCACGGGGACTTCCCCACCCACCTGGGGACTCTGGGAGAAGGTTTTCCGGAGCAGCTTGCCAGGGAGGACTTCTGAGATATCATAGAGAACCTTGAAGCAGATGTCATCCTCCGTGATTGAGTCCTCATCATAGATGCTAAGTTCCAGAACATTCTAGGAACCAGGAACAGCGACTTAGCATTTTACCTGCTTATAGCGAGAGTAGCTCACCTCTGTTGAGCCCTTACTTGATGTCTAGAGCCAGAGAAGATTATTATGCCCCCACTCTTCTGCACTTCAAAAAAAAAAAACTGTAAAACTTAAATATAAGGAAATCTTATTAAATTTCAAATTTCCTCCTTCTAATTTTTGTTTTTATCAAACATAAAATTCTGAGCTGGACATGGTGGCTCATGCCTGTTATCCCAGCACTTTGGGAGGCTGAGGTGGGTGGATCACCTGATGTCAAGAGTTTGAGACCAGCCTGGCCAACGTGGTGAAACCCCATCTCTACTAAAAACACAAAAAAATTAGCTGGACATGGTGATGGGTGCCTATAATCCCAGTTACTCGGGAGGCTGAGGCAGGAGAATCCCTTGAACCTGGGAGGCAGAGGTTGCGGTGAGCTGAGATTGTGCCATTCAACTCCAGCCTGGGCAATAAGAGCAAACTCCGTCTCAAAACAAAAACAAAAACAAAACAAAACAAAACACATTAAAGTCTGTCAAAGAATTCTCTCTTCCTCTCTCTCTGTCTGTGTCTCTGTCTCTCTCCTTGGCTTCTCTGGCTCCCTGAGCTGCACCCTAAGGTATGTGCTGGTGACCTTCCACGGTCTTCCACACACAGTCTCATCTCACCCCACAGCACGACCCAGTCAGGAGGGGGCTCTTACTGTCTCTGTTTCATAGCTAGGCTTCGAGAGGAACCCAGCTTGTGGGAGTCAGTCCCACCGTCAGTTGGTGAAAGGACCATGTTCATGCCTTCATACATTCCCTTGCACACAGCACAGATGGGCCAGGCCACAGAGACCCCCTTCTCCTAAGAGTTTCTCTGACAGCCCCGAGGAAGCATGCTCGACCCCAGGAACCCTCGCATGGGGGTCCGGCCTGTTCACAGGGAAGTGGCCAGGAGTCCCCGGCCTTCACCTTGACCTGACTTTGGATAAGGAAATGGAAGGGCTCATTCCACACAGGATGACTGGTGTCGGTGAGCGTCTTGGTCTTAAACTTCATTCCAGGCACGGTCGACAGCTGTAGGATCACGTAAGGGTCAGCCTCACTCACTGCCAAGGTTAAGGAAGACTCCGTGAGGGAGGATTCCTCACACCCCTCTCCACGGGCCACACCAGTTTCCTATCAAGACCCTGGCGGTCACCACAGGTGACCCAGCCCAGCCCCAGGGTGCTCGTCTTGGCCCTTCCCATGGGATCCGGTCCTCCCTGCTCCCGCCAGAGCGCACAGGACGGTTACTCACACAGGTCGGCCCTGCGCAGGTTCCGCGCCTCCAGGACCCTCACGGTGAGCTGCCAGCAGGCAGAGGCCTCCTGCTGGAGAGAAAATCAAACTCCAGAGTCCTTCCCACATTCCCTCCCTATGCCTGGAGCTGCTGTACTGCACCAGGCTGCCGACACCCCTCACCACTCTCCTGGCACTTGGCGGTGCCGACACCAACTGCTGCCAGGCATTCCGAGACACCCTCTGGGGACCACACAGCCTTTGTCCACCTCTGTCTTTGGGGTCATGGTTCTGGGCTGCAGCAGTCAGGGAATAGCAGCCCACCCAGGGTGGGATTTGTGGAACCCCTTCCCCTTCAGGAACAGAGAAACATGGGGTAGTGGACAGAGCAAGGAACTGAGGGCCAAGGAGTGGCCACCACATAGGTCAGTTAGATGTCAGCCCTTCCCAGAGCTCCCAGGGAGGGCAGCCCTTTGGCAAAACTAGGGCTACCTTTGGTGACCCTACTGCCAGCACTGCCCACCCCTCAGCCCTTCCGGACAGGAAACAGGCGCATGACTTAAGGGAGGCTGAGCCTCGGCAGCCCAGTCCACAGGTGCTACCCTGGATCTCAGCAATCTGCACTGTAAAGCGTATGAATGAGGAAACTCCAGGAGCATTGGGCCATCGTAGGGAGCAGTTGGTGCTGTGGGTGAAAGGCCACTACATATTAAGATGCTGACAAGGCCATGTCAGCCACAGGCAGCCCAGGTGAGAGGGAGAAGCAGCTGAGTGGGCAGAAGCTGGAGGAGAAGACGAACAGAGAGTAGGTGGCAGGAGGGAAAGTGGATGGCCAGTGGGGCGTGACTGAGACCTGCTGGGGACAGAGCACTGGGGGTGTCCCCACACCCCACTGCTGAGGTCCCTGGCACTGCCAGGATCAGGAGGGCCCTGGGGTTTCTGTTCCTATGCCCTGCTGCACGGCTTCTTCTGGGTACCTAGCACAGGTTTCTTATAAGCCCCTTTGATGTGAAGTTATTCACATGGGTTTGGCAGGGCAAATGGCATTTTTTTCCTGTGGGCTGACCCCAAGGAAGGTTGTTGGCCTTGCATCCTCTTGGAAAGGAGCCTTCCTAGGAGGACCACCTATGGGGCATGTGGCCGCAGCAGAAAGAGCCCACGTACAGAAGGTCCGTTAGAACAGGGGCTATCAGGAAGGAGCACTGCCTGTGCCAGGGGGTGGGGTAGTGGGAGCCCCCAGCCAGGAGGGGACCCTGCTGGGCCACAGAGTGGCAGGACCCCCAAGGGGCACCAGGCACATGAAGGCCTACGAAATGCTAAACGCAGGAGCCACGCAGTATGGCGGCCCTGCTGAAGAACCCACAGACCACCTTCATTCCAGAAAAAAACACCCTGCTGGGGCTTCTGCCATTCAGCGGCTCTGCCACCAGGTTAGACTCCCCACTAAGTAAGTATGATTGTCTCAGACCCTTATATCCCTTCACCTGCTCCCCCCTGATCCTGAGGGAGCCACCAGGCCGTGCAGTGTTTGCACAGTGAGCATTCGACATCGCATGGCTGGGAGACTGTTGTGGCAAAACCAGAGCTGTTTCCTGCTTTGCGCTCTCCCATGACCAGACGCACTTCCACGCATGTGGTTGGAAGTTCTCGGTGCCTACCAGGACTGGTCTCCGCTCTGCACAGATGCTGCTTGCCAGGGGCTGGCTCAGCACCCACAGGGACCTGACTCTCCACTCACCACCAGAAACCATAAAGGACCATGGACCACGGCAAAGCCATATGCCTGGTGTCCCTGCCCCGCATCTTTCCTCTCTGCGGTTCCACGCCAACGTCCGTCACTCCAGGCAGCTCTCCAGCACAGCATGCACGACCTCCCTAAGCAAGGTAGACTTGTTTCTCTCTTCCTGGGGATTAACTCCAGTGGCACCAGCAACATGTCAACTCTACAAACCTTAAGCCTCTTAGATGTTATCAGCAGCAGAGATTTCATGAGCTGCGGGGCATCTAGCTCCATTTCCTCCCCTCACTCAGATTCCACCGCTGCTGGCCACAGGGAGCTCCATTTCCTCCCCTTGCTCAGACTCCACCGCTGCCAGCCACAGGGAGGTGATGGCTGGGATGCTGGGGTCCTGCAGCGTGTTGAGTTTCAATGTCCCACTCCAAGACAAGACAGGGGAAGGGCAGAGGCAGCCTGGCCTCGTTCCCCTGCTCCCCGGGGCCAGGCCAACGCTCCACAGGTCCACAGCTTGTGGGCTGCTCTAAAGCCACTTGGGCTACTAAGAAATGGCCCCAGTTACTCACTGTCTGGCCAGTCACCATCCCGGGTTTAAGCACTGTAGTTCATTTCTCCCTCCCATCACCCAGAGCTTCTCAACCTCAGAAAGCCCATTCCCTGGCAGGTCATTTTCCCTACAGAGAAATCCCAATTCTCTTCGCCTCTAAGATCATCGCTAACGTGGAGTGCCCAGAACATGGTATTATTGCGACAATGATTACAATGTCTGGTCTTTACAGGGGCTTCAAGGCAGACTCCGGAGCCAGCTTGTCTGGATTTAAACCCTGGCCCTGCCACTTACTTGCTGTGTGACCTTGGACAAGTCATTAAACTTCTCTTTGCCTTTGTTTCCTCATGTGTAGTGGAAATGATAAGAGTTCTGACCTCACATAGTATTCTGAGGCTTAGAATGTTAATGCCTGCAGGATGCTTAGGAATAAAGTAAGCAGTTTTTAAGTAACTGCTATTACTACTACTGTTCATTAAGTATTTGTCATGCTTCCAGGCACTGTGGATGTTGCAGATACCAAGATGAAATCAGTTTTGTCAGACCCCAACAAATTAGGGCTGGGAACGCATGAAAGAGCAGAGCTCATGTTTACATGTCTGAGATGAGAGCTGTTTCCAAGGACTTTCTGCAAACCCCACAGAAAACAGCTTCACATCTTTCACACATCCTTCGGCATCTTCATGCCAAAGTCCCTCTTCAGCAGGAAGACGGAAATGAGCAGACCCGCCCTGTCCCCTGCTGGCACCAGTGCCCTGTGGTGGGGCAATGCAGGAGGTCAGAGAGAAGAGAGGTGGAACCCCTGGGCACAGCCCCTGGTCCTGCGGACTCAGTCCTGCCAATGCCAGTTGGAGGCGAGGTGCTTTCCAGGTGTGGGGCAGACTCAGGCTCCCAAATCGCTGACACTTAGGCTTTTGTTTTACCCGGGAGCTAGAACTTGAGCAGGCTGAGGGAAAAGGGGGAAGGGGCACAGCCTTCGCCAGGGAGATTAGCTGACAAGGTTTATCACTAGACATCCATTAGGACTGCAGTAATTCAGATAAGATGCCCTCAAAAAATACATGTGCCCAGTAACAGCATCTCCACCAATGAACTGACAACTCTGGCTTTGAGCCTACAGAACCAATGAATTCTGTTTCCAAGCAGTTTCTGTGAGCCTCCCCTTTTTTTCCAGTGAAAGCTTCCCTTTCCCCTTCCCTCACCATTGCCCTGGCGGCCTGTCATTCGGCACATTCCGAGCCACAGTCATTTATCGTTCCAGAGTAAACACAACATAGTTAGAGATCATTTTCTCTCGTGTCTTTCTGTGGGGTGACAATACTGTACTAAGCATGTTACCTATTGTAACTTTATTTATCTTCCCACAACTTCAAAAGACAGTACTCCCATTTCCTCCCGTTTTCTAGATGAGGGAATTGAGGCTGAGAGAGGCTAACTTGCCGAGGTCACAGAGTTAGCAGACACAGAGTTGGAATTCAAACTTCGAGGCCAGAGCTCACAACCCATCTATTCTCCCTTCCCAGGACTTTGCTCCTTTGGAAAAGCATGCAACTCTTCCCTCATTGCCCCACGGATATCTAGGATATCTAGACACTAGATTTTCATAGATTTGTCTAATTTGAGTAATAGATATTCATAGATTGGTCACAGATTTGACTAATACGATTGCTGAGCTAACTGGCATAATTAACTGATAGGAATCTTTTCTCCTGAGGGCATAGGGGTGTCACCTTCCCTTCTGAAAGATCCTCCCATCTGAAATACCAGCTTAATTGATGACGAACCCAGAGGCTCCTGGAGGACATTCATCAGCCCAGTCTCCTGTAGGTGACAGTAACCTTAGCACACTTAGCCTCATTCCTGGCCACCACCTGGGGCACCGGACCAGGAGCCAGCCCTGCTGGCCTTGGTCCCTGGCAGAGGATGACAACTCTGGGCTTTGGAGAAACACATGACAGAGGTGGGCACAAGCAGTTTGCAGGCCTCCCTGGCCTGGGTGCAGCCCCCAGCTCTTGGGCCTAGTAAATACTTGGCAGTGGATGGGGATTTGGGCCCCCAGAGCTCTGGAGATATACAGGGTGATCCCAGGAGTCCAGCCAGTTCCAGGAAGTCTGCTGGCCTGTGGTGATGGGGCTGTGGACCTGGTGTGTCTCCTTTTGTGACACACGCAGCCACTGTGTTCTCCGATGTTGGTGGGGGGGAGGTCCCTAAGGGCACTGCTGTGGTCACTGGTGGTGCCGAAAGGAAGCTCTGCTGACCAGACTCATGTTTCCCAGCCCCCGCATCTACGGATGCTGCCCACCCACCCCACCCACTCTGCATCCCAAATCTCAGACTCCCTCGCCCTCTGGCCCAGTCTGGTAGAGACTGAAATCACCCTGATTCCAGCTACCACACTTCCCCAGAAAGCACCCTGGCCCCAGGCCTGCCCTGACTGGTGCCCACATGCTCTGCAGACACTATTACCTGGTAAGGATGGCCAGGTGGTCCCCCAGGTGACAGACTCTCCATGCTAGCCCTTCCAGCTTCACTCCAGGCCCAGCCCTTGCCAAGATGCTAGCTCTCTGGCTGGGTGGCAGCGACGGTCCCAATGGGATGGGACCAGCGTGAATCTGCCAGCCTTCGATGAGCCACGATCCTATAAACAGGTTGGGGCTCCACCCCCAGGTCGCTCCTTCAGCCCTGCACCTGCCCCTCTTCCGCAGGAGGCTGGGTCAACCAGCATCTCCAGAAACCTCTGGCAGGGCTCCAGGACCTGCAGGTGGAGCACCTCTTCCAGACCTGGAGTTTCACGACAGAAGACGCAGCCAAGGGGAGGCAGATGAGTCCCAGGAGTGGTGGCAGGAAGCTGGTTCCCCTGAGGCTGAGGGCAGAGGCTGGGGTAGGGGTAGAGCTGAGGAAACCCCCAGCCCCACTGGAGCCAGGGCAGCCTCTAGAGGAGGGGAGGGCTGAGCACCTGAGACTAGGCAAGGGGCCAGCCCTCCTGGGCAGCTCTGTGCAGCAGGGATCCCTGTCCAGGGGATGAAAACAAGAGCAGTCGTGGTGACAGGCCCAGGCTAGTGCGTCCTCCTCACCTGACCTGAGCAGGCTCCAGGGAGCGGCAGAGGGGTCTGGACATCCCCTATCACAAGCCCCTCACCTCTATGTGGCGGGCCCTAAGAATTTAGGGGATTTCCGTTAGACTTTGTAATAAAGGTAAGAAAGACCAATCAGGAGACTCTTAGGTTATGAAAATTGTAGAAGAAACCTTTGTGAAGCCACCTCACCATTTAAAGCATTCAGTGTGCACGAGAGCACTGAACACTCTCCTAAAATGACACGAATTCGGTCATTTTACCATCAATTCTGTATACAGTTGAACAGTGATGATTTGTTTTTCAAAGCA